ACTCAAAATAAGATATTAAGGCTAAAATCAACAGAGCCAGGTAATATACCCGGTGTATATAGATATAAAAAATGATAGGTAGCATAAATATATATATATATATATATATATATATATAATGTTAAATGTATTTCTGGTGTATGTTATTATTTTCTTTTAACTAAGTATTTAAAATGATAAAATAGTAGAAATTAATTTTTCCCCTATCCCCTACAGATAAAGTGAATGTGATAGTTACATGGTCAGAAACGTATAACATTTCAACGCGTTTCTATAAGCAATCAATAATTAGCCGTTCCAACGTCTCATTACTATATAATAATTTTGACTAATGTGAATATTAAATTTAAACAGATGCTTAATACTCGTATGGGGTTCTAATTTTCTCCAACCGTGCGGTAATGGTGTTGCATTAGACAGGTGTAAGGCAGTACCGCGTGTTGCCCCTCTCATTATTCTATTCCTCTGCTTAGCGGTCGGGAACCGATGTCCACACTCCAGGCCCGCTCTTATCACATCCCCTTATCAGCAGTTTGTTCATATGGAGAAATTCTCAATCTTATCGCAAAGGAAGTGTTAAAATTATAAAATATTTTTTTATGTTGAAAAGAATGAACTGAGGTCATTACATCGTGAGGTTTTTTTTTATTTTTTTATTAATACGCATACAAATCATGGGCAGAAGTAAAGAGAAATTTGTCATTACCATGTACGATTAACGTGCATAACATTGCTTACAGCACTTAGTGATATTTTATATGTTTTATATAGTATGGGCTGTAGTTATGAAAGTATTGCATCAGGGTGCCCACCACCCCCCACAACTCCATATTTAAGAAATTTTATTCCTTTTCTGTTCTTAAAACAGAGAGCAAGCGGAAATAGAATAAGAACCACTGTTTTTCAGTGGTTTAAAAGTTCCTTGAAAATTGAAATCCCATAAAAATATAGCTCGTTAGGAAATTATTACACAGTCAGAATGTGCTCCCTGAAAAATTCATAACGCCGTAAAAATTTGCTCGTTCAAAAATTTTGATGGTGCAACTTGCCCCCCTTCTGGGTACTCCTATATTGCATAAAATGGCAAAACGTTTTTATTATACAAAGGTATGTTCTGGGGAGGAGGGGGAATCCTCCCATCTAACATAAAATCTATCCACATTTTCATACACATATTAATCTGTACTACTCAATTTTAAATATTAGAAAACTATTATAATTTAATACTAATTATTATTTTAAGAAATTCTCCAAAAATTATCGCAATACTTTTGACTTTTAATCTAATTTTCTATGAAATAATGGCATTGTGTCGTAAGCTTGTAGAAACGTATAAAAGCGTTTCTGCGCTGCTTCTGAACAACAAATTTTCTTTTAAGAGATAGCTTGGAGTGTGTAGTTTCTAGAGAGAAAAATTATACGTTATTTCTTCATTTTTTAAAATATATAATAAGATATTTTTTAAAATTGATAACTAGGGTTATCAAACTGCCGCAAGGTAGTAGCACAGTACATGCCTACAGAAAGCAAGTTTTAGCAGACTGAACCAACACAGTGTATCCACCACGGAATCACCACAAACTAAATTTTACCCGCTGTCCCAAAGGTTACCTCATCTTACGGTACGTAATAGCTACAAATACTTCTGAAGTCTAGCCAGCTAGTGGACATACCCTTTTTTTAAAATAGATTTTAGATAACATATTTTATTCCTTCGTATAGATTACTTATTAGTTTTCTTTTTTCTTTAACTTAAAATTATGAGGAGAGGCGAAATGATATTCCCGCTCCCTCAATATATTTATTCACCCCCCCCCCCCAAAGTCTGCTCCTATGGTTGTCGAGAATTGATTTACTCATAGACTTTTTTTATTATTGAAATGTACAACTGTATAATGATAAATACAACTAGTAAATATGAAATAAGTAACTTGACATATACAACATGAAGAGAAACTACCCATTGGTAGAACTTCAATTATGTTCCTATATTAGAAGGTCCCGAAGCCATCTTCTTTTCAGACGCCTCGGGGGTTACCAGGAATAGAAGAGGAACCAAGGTTGGGGAAACAAGAGTGTTCGGATGGTTCAGAAGTTTATTATGGAAGGATAGGTATCTGGATTGAGCTAAATCGGAAACATATGGTACATTAAGGTCGTTATGGATGATTTTATTTGTGACAAAGTAGGGAGCATTGAGGATTTTGGATTGTAGGGATTGGATACAAGAGTAATTTGATGGTTTAGTAGAGCCCCAAAGCTACTCATAGACTTAAATGGAGAATTCAGAAACTACACAATTTCAAGCTATCTCTTAAAAGAAAATGTAATTTGTTGTTCAGAAGCAGCGCAGAAACCTTCTTATAGGTTTGTACAAGCTTACGACACAATGTTATTATTTCATAGAAAATTATATGAAAAGTCCAAAGTATTGCGATAATTCATGGAGGTCTACTACACAAGTGCGATTAGACTGTGCAAGAAAGCCTAACAGCTCGGGCCTCCGAGGAAGTGGGGTTTTCGCCGTTCTACTTAATATTATCAAAGAGAGGAAAATTATAGAAAATTTATACTTGTTTGTCACACGCCTTATTTTTTGTTATCTGTAACGGTTAGTAAATCTCTTTAATAACTGCTTAACGCTGCTAACCATCTAATGCAGTTCTATAGATCATAAGGTGTTGATTAGATAACATGTTTATATATTGTACACTGCATCGGATCAAACGAGGAAAGGCGATTAAATTCGTTCTATTAAAAGATATCATATAAGCCAATAAAAAAAAAAAAACATTCTTGAAAAAAAAATCAAAAGCAATAAAGACCACAGAGCGTAGGATAATATAATTAATTAATAAAGAATCAAGTTTAAGTAATAAAAAAAATATTATAGTAAACATTTATTTTAATCTCCCATCTTATCTGATTTTATTATAATAAGTGACAGTTTTGCGCAGGGCTTGAAACTAGAGATGAGAAGGTGAATCGAGATTCGAATTAAAGAGTCGATTCCTCAGAAAGAATTGAACTTTCGTATGAGTTATTTTTTAGTAAACTTTTTTTTTCACTGAACTACGTTATTTTTTTGGATATCAATGTTCTGATCATTCCTTTAATTTCACAGGTCAGATTGGGTAGTTAGCTCAATATAAGTTATTTAATTTTAAAAATGAAAAAAATACTCTACTAATTTATTTTTTTATTTTTACCGCCAGTTGCCATAAACTGCAATCTATTATTAAAAATTAAAAATCGATAATTATGTTCTTCAGAAAATCATGAAATAATCATTATTAGTAGTATCAAGCATAGATAAATAATCGTAAACGGGAGTATCTAAAATGATACCTGATTCACCAGGAAAATAAAATTAATTGAGTTTTATAGATTTCATTAAAATAATGATTATATTTAACCCATATATACATTAATTAATTAATGTAATGAATAATTCTTCATCGAAAAAAAAATATTAGGCTGCATAAGAAATGTTATTTTCTTATAAATAGAAATTTTTGAGTACCAAATACCACTAAATAAAACCAAAAATGCACCTAATAATAAAAAATCATAATTGTCAAGAAATGGTCTTTTTAGTGATTTTCATTCTCGCTTGACTTCAAAGCACATGAAAAAATTACTGATTATAAAAAAAAACTTACACTTTAAACTGGTATTTTTTTTATAGAAGAAACAATTTTTGTCCTTACAATAAATTAAAAAAAAATGGTTGATCTGATATATTTTGATCGCCAACAGGTAAAGATTTAAATTTATGCGTAATATATATTTTAGACAAGATTGTAAAAATGATCACTATTATTTAATTTAAGTCAAAGATAGTATGTTTTATGAAGTATTACACTCACATTATATTTTTATATGTGAATGATGATCCCGAAAAATTAACATTTCGTGTGATTTGAGATATATATTGAAAAAAAAAAAGAAAATGGAAATATTCAGTAAATCTATTGAAATAATTAAACAACGAGGAAAACAAAAATACAGAAGAACATTTTATTAGAAATTTATGTATAATTTCTTCAATATTTCGCATGATAACAGTTTATCTCGGAGTGATATTAACTTATCTCAGTATCGCTTGTTTCCTTCTTCTCAATGTAGCACACATACATTAGAAAAAAAAAATCTTTGATGCGACGTACATGTATTTACAAAATACTACATGATTATCATGCATATAATCCTAATATCTGAGCAAGAAGTATAATTATAAATTACATGACTCTACTGTTACGTACGTATGCATATACGTGGACAAAAATTGGAAAGGTAGAAATTGGATAAAATGGATAGGTAGAAATTAAAAAAAAAAAAAAAAAGATTTTATAATTACCATTAACATGAGGTATTTGATAACACAATCCCTATAATCCAAAACATGACAAACAATTTTTATCTCATCCTTTGATATTTTTAACTAAGTATTATTAATAACCTTTCGCGTATTTTTTTTTTTAATGTTCATGAGATGTATCATGTTATGATGAAATAAAATTTAAATTGTTAAATTATACATATATATAAAATTTAATAATAAATAATATATCATACACACACATGCAAATAAATGATTCACTATTTATGAACAAACACAGTGAGTAATTAAAATTTCAGTAATTTAACAAGTGTCTATTGCTCATATATCGAATATGTTTGAATGGTATCGTAAATTACTTAGCTTTAAATTATTCATTTCCTGTATTGTTGATAAGTCATTTCTTACTGCAAATATTTCCAAGGTACTGTTACATTCATTTGGTTATTTGATTAAAATTAAAAAAAAAAAGTAATAAAATAAAATAAGAAGAAAATATTTCCGGTTTGTAAAATAACATCCCAATTTTCAAAACCGAGGGTACCTCAAAACAAAACGAATTCACGATTGTCTCTCTTAATCAAACGTAACAGAAAAGGACCGCCCGGAAACTTTTGAAAATTTGCATAATCCGAAAAATTATAACATAAAACATTTTTTAATTTATTCTGAGGCAAAAGCAGTAAAAATGCTTAAATGTCAAGGCCGAATATGTCAAAGATACTTTGGCTAGTCTTCGGTCTAGATGTTGGGGACTTCGGGCCATGTCAAGTTGCATGAGGTAGGACTTACCGTGCTGTTGTGCGTAGACGATTCCGGTGGTTGTGGCAGAAGTGTGGGGTTTGAGCAACTGGCTAAAATCACCAACGCACATTGTAGATTCGTATAAGCCTCCACCATTTTCTACCATACTCCTTTCTTTTTCCACTTCTGAAACCGTAAAAAAAAAAAAAATAAAAATAACAACAAGTATTAAATGACACATAATGGTAATTTAAAATTGTTTACCTCCAATAAGAATATTAATTTAAGGACAAATATTATTGAATCAGTTGTCAAATCCAATCGAAAGCGATTGACAGAGGCTAAATTAAATCACTCAATTAATTTGATAAACGGGCGATTATTTAAGGTTCAGAGAAGATTTATCACATTTCGTTTAATTTACGAATACTCTATCAAGCAAAAACTATATTGATAATATAGTAGGTTAATTAAATTATAGGTTATCTATTTTTAAATTTAAATTGAATGAATGAATTGAATCTTATCGCAAAGAGGCAACAGGCAGTCTCAAGGTATTATTATTTGATCTTCGCAGTAGAAATGTTGTCAGGGTGATTCACCGTGGATCAATTAAGATAAGACATACTTGACTTCTTTGACACAATCTCAAATAGGTAGGTAAAATCAGTATTTCAGATCGAATCAGTCAATATATTAATTTCGTAAATGTACTCACAATTTCAAGTACATATATTCAATAATCAGAAGTCAATGCATGTATTCACTAATTAATAAAAAAATTCTTCCAAAATTAATTAATTCAACCATGAGATTAATACTAAAGGATCTTCTACTTAGGACTGAATCATCCCGTATTCAATCTTAACAATCCAATATCATTCATAGAATCCATAATGCTCTTTATCGGTAAAAATCTAAATACTCCATTTGTTGGATATGTTTAAAGGATATATCACCGTCAATCAAACTCCTTTTCCAAACCCATGGGGTACTTTTTATCATATTTCAGTGTATGCCCAGGGGTGCCTAAAAGAGGTTTGATGGCACCATCTAAATTTTGGAGGGGAGCGTATTTTGAATTTTTGAGGGTGACACATTTCGATGTAATTATGAAATGTAGGAATGAAAAGTTTCAAACTAAGGAACACAAGGAAAAAAAAATGAAACAGACTTAAGTGTACTTGGTATAAGATCTTCGACTATTTAAATTTTACCTTCGATTGCACTATTTTTAAGGAGAGATGAGCAATAAAATATCATGGAAGAGGATGGAGGATGTTCATGCGCCATCAATCTTGGGGGCGGGGGTTGCATAATATACAATCCTATTCATAATATACAATCCTAAAACCTGGTACCACTAACAACCCATGAAGGGTTATGGGTTCAGTACAATGTGAGGAAGTACTGTTACAAGGGCAACGGTTGAGCAGGGAGGTGACGGGCCAGTTTCCCCACTTGATTGATTAATTAAGAGTAACTACTTCATAGAGTCTATGTTTGCCCCAGGAGGGTCTCCCGGCCCCAGGATAGACCCATGGCTGATGAAAAATTACTAGACATCAGCCGGGTTCGAACCTGGGACCTTGAGCTCTGGAAGTCAGTACCTCACCCACTGAGCTACCCCGCTCCCTATACAATCCTAAATATATATTAATTCTTTTATATCATTCTTACATAGCTCAGATGATAGCATACAATTTGACCAGTGGTACGTATTAAAACATTACCTGAAACGTCCAATTTTAGGTATTTCGATAATTATGAATAGATGAAGTCTGCTTTGTTCTCAATTAATAAAAACATGCTCTTAGGTTGTTTTTATTAATTTTTTTTCGGAGAAGGAAAGCATGAACTTCGCGGAGGGCGTTTTGCATCGCAAATTCACCATTAACATTACAAATGACAAACATTAAATGAGTAGAAGAATTGGTCAATGTATAGAATTCCAAATTATGCTTTTGCTCTAATTATAAATAAAAAAAGTTATTTTGTTCCCAAAAGTTTTATCAATATCACCCAACTTTTATGTGATACAAGCATTGTATGGGTACTCATTTGGCTCAAGAGAATTAACGTTGTCAAATCATAACTGTTTCGTTTTACTCTTGAATAATAAACTGTTCAGTCGCTTAATGTTTTAACTGTTTTGTGAGGGAGTAATTAGGTAGAACAATTAACGTTGATTAGACTGTAGTATAATTCACTTGAAGGACAAGTGTCTGGATCAATAAAGTGAATTAGATCGCTAATATTTTATTTCCATTTATCCGTGTAATACTTAATACTATTCGCAAGTTATCGGGAGTGTAAAAATATAAAATATATAAATAATGAGATAAAATTAAATAATTTTTTTCTTCAGTTTTGTAATAAAATATTAATATGAGATGTCAGAGCTACCCTAAATAATGAGATGACGAAGGATTTAATAACTAATTTATTATTTATTATCAAATTGAGACAGAAATTATTTATTATCCGTTTAAAGTTTCGCAAATGGCTTCATCTTATCGTAGCCTACAACTTTTTAATTCACGTAAACTCTTGGGAATGGGGAGTTTTCAATCATGAGCTCGGTAAACTTAGTTTATCTCATGAAGCACTGGCGGTTCTGAGGAGAGGGGCTTTTGGGCCTCACCAAAAAAGTTTAAAGTCTCTCCTCCCTCCCTCCCAAAAAAATAAAATATAACCATTTTTTATCGAAAACATATATTAAAAAATTATATCTTAAAGTATTATTGTTCGTGTAATTACATTTGATGGGACTTCAATAATCACTTAAACACATTTTCATATTAGTAGTTGGTTTCTCTCTTCTTTTTTTAAAAGTAATTGTCGTAATATATATTAAGCTTTCGCGTTGAAGACCTCCCTAACATTAAATCCTGGATTCGCTTGTGTCATGAGGTACTAAGAAGTCATGAACTTGATAAGAAAGGTAGACTACAAAAATATTAGGCCAAACGGCTCAATGTTTTTGTAGGCCACAATTTCCTCGATTTTGTGATCAAATTATCTTACGAAGTGGGAATCAAATGGGTGTTCATGATTCTTTAACACATCATAAAATAAATTAATTTATTAACAAAACTCTTCGTTACTGAGAATTTTCGTAGTTAAATTGATCTCTACTTTTTACCTTTTTTTTTTTTTAAATGACAATAAATTTAAATTTATGATAAAATAATTAAGACCCAGAACATGTGACTTAGATTCTGAATTGTTAATAACCACATAAACATATTTTTTCCTTGCCTCAATAATTAGCATCGTGCAATAACATTGCAGCTATTTTAATACTCATATTTTATTGGTCAGCGAAATAGATCAACTACATAGCGATGTAAAACGAAGGACAGAATATAATTATGGCTGTAAAAGCGTTATAAATTAGGAGAACCCCAGTTACGGACGAATAACAACAGCGAGTTCCCACAGTGGCGAAGTCTACCGAACACCTGTTCCCTTATCTAGCTACTAGTGGGAAACTGAATGAAATTCTCAGCTCAGTCGCCTATAAAGTCAATAATACGCTAGGCCGGTTCAATAAATTAAACAATTTACTTATCAATCCATAAAGGCGTACGCAGCTATCATATTAGCGGAAGGGGGCAGCAAGACGGAAAATTTCAGGTATACAGGAAGTCTCGTTGTTATTGACCAAACTCTTGGGAGGGGGGGGGGGTGATTTTAGATAAAATTGTCAACAAAAAAGTTCATTTGATGCTTGTTCCGATTCCGAATACAAAAGGTTTAAACTGTACTCAAGGCAATAGCTGAGATAGTTAATATTCATAATGCATTTTTCTTAAAATGATGTTTCAAGCGAATGAGGTTATGATGTTGATTAATTCAATGTAAACAAAATATATGTGTTATGTTTACAATTATTCGTGTGAATACCTAACTGTCGCTTGTTTAAGGTTGCTTGGTTTATGACTAAACATGTGATTGAAAGTGATAACTTAATATAATTAAGCTTACTTTTTTCGATAGGGATGTTTTTAGTACGCTATTTCATTTACTGCACTTGGACTGATCCAGTGAAGGATCTAATTTTATTTCAAATTAACAATAAGATTTCCAGAACGAGGCGAATGAAGTTAGGCCGCCTAAGATTAGCATTAACGGTCTACTAGACCTATGATTGCGTGTACGATTTTAAAGAGACACTTGAATACACTCATATCGTGTAAATCGTTACGATTACGTAGACTTAACTGTAACTTGTCACGTATCCATAGTGAAACCTTGATATGCAATTACATTCTTAAACTTGTAACGTGATTCCAATGTACACCCCCCAGCTACTTAAGACTTTCATGATCACTAATTATTCAAGGAAATGAGAATTTCAGCCCTGCATTTTGCAAAATAGCTGCTTTATAGTTTGCGTAAGATTGTGGGGCTCGTGCCACCCGGATCCAGTGATACTACCTAGATCCCTGACAAAGCTAAGGCGATGGGCTAGGCAGTATGACCTCTGTCGCAGGATATCCTGTAGGCAAATCTCTTTTCCGGGCCTCAACATCCCTTTCCGGCAAACAGCAGTCCGTTCTCAGAGTTCGGCCCAGAAGGTTGTGTACCCGGCTTGCGCAGGTGTGGATTCTTCTTAGAGGCCTTTTGGAAGCAAGGGCAATTAACAAGAGTGCTCGTGGTTGCGAAAGTGAAAAGTGTTTGTGGTTTTGGTTAAGTGCATCGGGAGACTTATCAGCGAAGTATCTTCTGACCCATTTAGAATGTTTTGACACAGTGATTCACCAACGGGATTAGGGATATTGCTCTAGCATCACCTGTATGAGCAATGCTACATAGAGGTACAAACTAGAGAAGTAGTTTTGATATTGGAGGGAGTTTTTGGACCGGACGTGACATAAGCATGAGATAACATCAGCCAAACTGCCATATGCATTAGAACTTTTGTTTGACAGTGATTACTTGCTACGTATCGGAGTATACATCTGAGTTACTGATGCCGAAAGTTTTAAACAAAAGAAATCCTAATGTTATATTCTATTCGGTTCATGATTCTGTTTACATTACAATGACTTAATGGAACTTATAATTTAGGTTTTTTTTCGATTTGAATTCATTTAATTTTTATCTAAATTATGTTAAATTTATATCGATGATATTTAAAAAATCTTAGACCAGTTTGAAATATACATATCCAGCGAATGTACAAAATGGACTACAAATTTATCATTTACTGTAGGAACGGACCCGTCAGATATACGTATAATTAACGTTATGGGAGGATGGTTCTTGCTTAGAGGAACAGGCATGCACCTGTCGGCAATTAAGGGCAGTGTTCTGCAGTCGATTCGTTGGAATTGAAAGCTTCAATTTTAATAAATTATAATTGTATACTAACGAGTTGTATTATTATTTCGGGGTATCGTTTTATGAGTCAGTTTTATTTTTTCCGCTTCTTTTCAGGAGCTCTTCCTCTTCTCCACCTTGGAATAGGATTCTGAGGCAAGATAACCAGTGCAAGCACAAGGGTTCAATTATAAAAATTCTGTTCATGAATTGAAAATTAATAAAATTGTAAGCTTACCGTCGATTTTATAAGAGAAAAAGTCAGACATAATGAGATCCGAAGCAGCGGTGAGGATGGTCTGGTCTGCACCGAAACTCTCCCCTCCACGTCCAGCGTCCAATCGCATCAAAGCGGACGTTGCTGCTCTTTACAAACAACTGACAGAAAAATCTGGCAGTGGTGGACATTCAACGACATCGTCAAATCAGATTGGCGGGAATGGAACATTGGTGGACATGAAAACTGCTTAAATTTTAAAAATATAAGGCGGACGAGCATGGAATAGGAGGTTTGTACCAAGAGTGCTTATTATTTTTATTTTTTTTTTTAGATTCGCGCAAATGACTTGATAAGTGTGGTACAGAATACTTATCAAACTTAATTTATTTTAAATTCTGCCAAAGCGTTCATAGAACATTATTTAAAATAATTCTAAAGCATTTATAATTTGCATTTACATGAAGTTTGATTTGTATAATTACATGAAGTTTGATTTGCATAGTTATTTGAAATTTGGTTTGCATAGTTATTTAAAGTTTGGTTTGCTTAGTCTAATTAAGAAACATTCGATGTATTCTTATTTTTAATGAGATATATATCTTCATTGAAACATAACAAACAAGAACTTGTGATCTATGTATATAACATAACCAGCCATCCAGAGAAACTACCCATTTAGCACTCCAACAATAGTTCTATAATAGAAGTTCCCGATGTCATTCTTTTCAGACGTCTAGAAGGATTGAATAATTGTAGAAGAAGCAAGTAAAGAAGTGGATTCGGACGTGTCTGGAGTTTATTATGGAAGGTTAGGCTGGATTACGCCAAATCGATGACATATGGAACTCGTTAAGTTTATTATGGATAACTTTATTCGTAAAAAAATTGTGAATTTTACGAAGGATTTTGGATTGTATGGATTGGATACGAGCCAAATTCAATGATTAAATCGTTTAATCGTTTATTTGAATACTGATTCTACACTAATACTTCACTATTTATCTACTAGTCAATTTTAATTATTTTTGTAATATTAATAAATACAGCTCTGATTTATTATTTTAATAAAACGTTGAACTAATTTATTAGCCTTTATTACTTAATAATAATTAAAAAATATTGATTCTCTATTTGCGGATATCACCGGCCAATTTAGTGTCGATGGCATTCTTTTTGCGGAAAAACCATGAACTGGTTCGTTAATTATGAAAATTATCGCGACTGTTTGTACAACATATAAGGAAATTATTTTTTAGTTGTATTCCCGATCGATACTTTCTATCTATATATATTATTAATTTACAGACCGGTTTGGTCAGCCCATACATACTTTAAAACTTTTTAATAGTTGAATAAGTGGGTATATAGTCTCAAACAAACTAGATCCTTAACGATTCATATTGCATATTGTAAAATAAATTAATGATTATAATACTATAAAGTAAAAAAAAATTATAGATAATCGGATAATAAATACATAAAATTAGGCTAAAAGATAAAAAAGAACATACATAACTGAAATTAGCATACAAACAAAAAATATCTGAGACTTTCGATGGATCAAGTAAGTTTTATATCACATTACCAATTATTATAAAGATAAATAATGTAATTTAGAAAATGTATTATCACTAATGATAGAACATAAAACATGTATTTAAATAGACAAATAACAATGGTTTATTAATTTTTATTTGAACATATTTTATCATTCCTAATTTTATGCACGTATGTATATACATAAATTAATAATTAAATGTTTCGACCAATATTAAAAACTTGATGTGTTGCATATGTTTTAGAATATTAAGATTTTCACAATTAGAATTGATATTAATTAGTTATAATTTTTTACATGAGATCAAAATATAGTTTTAAATTTGTAATTGTGTTTCTGTCTGGAAAATATTTCTGAAATTTGTTGTCCACAGTATAAAAAGCATTCTTTTTGTATCATCTAATGAGTCTTATTCTGTTTGATGTAATTAAAAACATAAAAATATATGTATATATTAATTTTGATTATTCTTATTGTTATTATTTGAAAATAAAATTTAGCTGTTAAAATTTCAAATCGATTGCAACGAAAGATAAACGCGGCACCAAATGAAGATATATCTTAAGAAGAAAAATGATAACCCCATTGTGTAAAATTTGCAATAGGGACCACTGGAGGAAATTACAAGATGCATAATTTTGCATAAATATATAAAAATATTGCATAAGGATATACCCCGCACGCACTTTAATGGTTACCAAGATGTCCTAAACTTAATTTACATTCATAGCCAATTTATTTTTATACTTCATTACTGATTGATATGCTAACTTTGTATCAATTATTCCTTGTATGGTAAAGAACTTTATTGATAAAAATCTACAAGTTGAACAAACAAACTTTATGTATTACTGGATATCATAAGTTAGGCTTTTACAATATACATAAAACTTAATATAACATTCCTTCAAAGCTGTTCAAATGGAACTTTTATTTGAAAATAGAATAGAATAAGAAACTGGTCAAAGATTAACTTAATAAAAATTCTAACAATATATGCAGTAATTTAACTAATAATATGGTTAAAGACAGATAGTTGAGGCTGATATTTCATTTTAGTAGTAAACAATTTCTCATGCTCTAAAGGGTAAGAGAGTACGAGTTATATGGAAGACCCATAATTTAAAAAAAAAAGTTCATTTATAGAGGAATATTTTACTGATGTAATCATTGAAAGTGGTTTTAACTTGAAGGATTGCCATAAATAAAGAAATGATCACCACTATTCATAAAATGTAATTCCCACTTTTCAATGGCATTATAGAGAATCAATCGTATATTTATTTATGCAAGGAATCAACATCATTATCAGCAATAATTTAATTTATAAAATGATTGCAGAATAAAAAATTAATTTCCTTGGTCAAAAGTGAACTGATAAAACAACAGTAAAAGGAAGTTTGCTAGGCCTCAAAAAATAAGATATGACCACAATTTATCGGAAACAATCTACGGTTCGCGAGAAAAATGTTGTTATCTTCATATATAATTAGATATTGAAATATATAATATAATTGATAATAAATCACTCGTTCCCTATGACAAATATAAGGTGTCCCAAAATTAATGCAAAGATTTAAATTAAATACAAAACACAGTTCTTTCTTTTTTGTTTCCTCTTTCTATGTCAATTTAACAGCTGATTGTTTTGGATTAGTAAAAATAAAGCGTTTTACGAGCCAACAATGTGTTTTCATTGTTGAAAAATATTTTTAAAATAATGAAGTCGAAAAATTCTTACAGAATACGGTCGGAATAGTGATTTTAACTCCATCAACTGTGAAGAGAGTGGTTGAGAAATTCAAACAGACTGGATCAATTGGTTATGTTAAACACACTGGCCATTCAAAAACAAGTCGGTAAAGTGTCAATATCGAAGCAAAACTTTCAAAATATGAAATGAGACGCTTCTTCTATTCATCTTACATCTTGGGGGGAAAAAGTATTGATTGAGCAAGTAAATCGAGTAAGTAAAGGAGGTGACGGGAATAACGTTGTTTTTTTATAGAGGCATCTCTGCAATCAAATTCGCAGAAAGGAGTCCTTTATCATTGAGTTTCATAAAAGTGTTCCTTTTTGATGAAACGTTTAAGTGGAGTTAAAGGAAAGACTACGCAAACCACTTTTAGAAATGTATGTAGTTCGGTAACTACAAGAACAGCATACATATTTGACTATATAAGTACTATCCTAAATACATGTACTTTTTTTGTTGTTGATATTTCGTGAATTAACAAATAAATTCGTATCAATACACAAAATAAATAAATACAAGGGAAATAACTGGTCAACGAGAATAAAAACCGCCATATTGTTGAAGAAAACCAACCACCCAAACAACTGGACCAATAGGTCTCATCCCTACTTTGTAAGATGATACGAAGTGTTGGACCCTTGTTCTTGGGATGGACCCCATGTTGACGAAGTGGAATCCATGGATGAAGTCTATACCCAGAGGGGTGACACCCTATGGGGGATAGCAATCGGTGTACTCCACACCTGAGAACAATACATACAAGGATAGATTCAACTCAACGTACTAACAAGAACTGACCCAACTTGTAATGTGATGTATTCGTTAAGTTTAACGTATATGAATTTATGACCTCAGAATATGCTTTAAGCAAATATATATCTTGAAATATATTGGATATGGTGTCAATTGGGCAATGTTTCAAGCGGTGACTCAGCCTTAGTGACGATTTACCGTGTATTATATACATATGAAATGTATATGGCAGTCTTTCAAAGGACGTTTCTTTGTATGATGTCTATGGCCATGCTTTACTATGAGAGCTATAAAATTTATCCTGGCTAAGTGTTCTTTAACAGTTTTAGGCACTAGACAAAAAAAAAAACCCTGAAGTTATGCATTGGAAGCCAAAACAATACATTTAGAAATCATTAAGAGCATTTTTTTTAAGTCTTTACACTATATATGACAATAATGAGACCTATTTGGACTTACGGAATTGAGCTCCACTAAACCATCGAATTCCTCTCGTATCCAATCCAAAATCCTTCGTAAAATCCTCAACGCTCCTTACTTTGCCACAAATAAAATAATCGATAAAGACCTTAATGTTCCATATGTTTCCGATTTGGCTCAATCCAGATACCTATCCTTCCATAACAAACTGCAGAACCATCCGAACCCTCTCGTTTCAAAGCTTACTTCCTCCTTCTGATAACCTTTCGAGGCGTCTGAAGAAAAGAAGGTGGCCTCGTGATCTTCTTGTATTAATTTATTATTTGAGTGCCATCAGTGGGTAGTTTCTCAACAAGAGATTTCATGTTATTATATTCCTAAGTGCACATTTACTAGTTGTATTTTTTTTTTTATAATACAGTTGTAAATACCAATGAATAAAAAAAAAAAAAAACCTTTACACAAATTATTTTTCTGCTGAAATATAAATAAGAGGGGGAGAAAAAAAAGAGGACTACAATAACCAAAATTAAATCTATAATAATTAAAAGACATTTACTTTCTTGAAACCTCGTCCTACTTCTTGCTAACATTAAAAATCGAAAGTGTTAACGAAAGATAAATCACATCGTAAAAAAGTAAATTAAATGACGAAATAAACAATTAACTGATTGAATTGAGCGATAAATTGCAATAAATCTATCTATACCCAACGCAGAGAGCTCAATATGACTTCTGAATGCCGAAGTGCCAGACGCATTCTGTCCACGAGCGTTCCTTGAATACCGAAGTGTCCGCTAGTCATTTGGCGACTGGCATCTTCCACCTTCTGCTAAAAGAAAATATCTGGATGGCTATTTGCTGTTCTTTAATTACAGTAATTATGATGGGGATAATACAAATTACATCAATCAAGTTGTAGCGAAATAATCCCGCAACAGAATTTCAAGAACGGTTCGGGGATGGTATAAGGCGTTAGACGATTTCAATGTATAGAAACTTACACATAAAAATATTTCAGCTCATATTCATTGAAGATAACACTGACATAACATAGTAAAATGATAATTCTTTCGGATAATAATGATTCCAATTGACCCAAGATAGTGACGACAAAATCCTGGTTAGCGGACTATCATCATATCATTTCCCTAGTATGCTATACTGTATAAAATAAACCCTAAATCTTCCACTTACCTTTTTGTAATATTTCTAGGTGTTCCCAGAGGATGTCGCCCATGAAGGGGGGAGCTCTGGCGAGGAAGGCCTCTTTGCCCATGGCGCAAATGTCTTTTCCTCGCATGCAGAACTGCTGGAGCTTCACGCCTTCCAGGGAGAACTCCCTGATCGCCCAGGATAACCAATGTTCAACCGCCGTCTCATTCCATTCCCTAGGATCTGTAGAAGAAAAAAGCAAAATGGATGTAAAGAAATGTGAAATTAAATTTTGTTTATGATTTTATTGTTTTTATTACTACATACGAATGGTTATATTTATGATTAATAGAATGATAATTTCGTAAATATTGAGCGATTTTCAACAGTTGTGAGCCTATGTATAAAGGAAGGATTTATTCCAATTCACGTTTCATGTTGTAATCCAAAACTGTCTAAAAACCTCGGTTTTACCTTTGATCAATACCTAATCTGGAATAACCACATTTTCCAAATCGTTCAAAACTCCATCTGAACCCTTAATCAGGTCCTATTCACCGAAGTCATCATAATTGTTCCTCCATCGTTCTTCTCCACTGAGGCTACGGATACTAGAGCATGCAGGGCTATCAGAGGTAAGCACGAAATGAAACTGAAAAGATAAATGAATAGTTTCGTAGGGTTCATTTTTGGCGTTTCAAGAAGCTCTCATGTGTATTCTAATTTACGAAGACCTAGGTCTCTTCCTATTTCAATCCTGGGGGAAGAAAAAAGTCAAACAACATTCTTGATCTCATCAACCTATGTTCTTCCAAACCCTTCAAATAATGTATCTCAGGCTTTCTTTTTGTTTATTCCTATCACAGAACAGCATTATTTGAAAAATCCTCAGTAATTCGAGTTACCTCGTTTTTAAATTCCACACCCAACTCCATTCGTAAAATTCCCTCCTTTTAAGCTCATTCAAACACCAGCTATTTCCCTCATCTCCTTTACTATTAATCTTCCCCATAAATGGAATGAAGAAGTTGGGAAATATGTGAATATACATCTCAATTTTTATTATTCATTAATTCGTCTTAAGTTTATAATGAATTTTATCGTTATCAATGCTACCAGATAAATGGTGTTAAAATGGTCAACTTTTCTTAGCGGATTAAATATTCTTTCACATCATACCTCCCCTGAAATTATGGTTTGAAAAATAACATATTTTGATTCATGCACATGTCTTTTTTCATATAAACCCACTAATATGGAATCATCGAATAATAGTATGATCCTAAGGACAAAATATTCATATTGAACGTACATCCAAATATCGAATTGAAGTTAATTTCCATTTATAACTCGTCCACAAAACTTTTTAGAAATGCTCACCCTGTAAAAATTAATGTTATCTTGAACATTAATACCGCAATTTAACAACATCCCATACTTAGCAAACGTGTGAAAACTTATGTCATCTTGGATTAATTACATGTTAATATGAAAATTATTAAATTTGTGATTTCTGGAGGATGGTGTGGCTAACCATTCATATTTTTTTCTGATTCCATTTGAGACGTAATGTTTGATTAATTATCTCAATAAATCCAAACTTACTGATCCCTTTTCTTTAAGTTATTAACAACCGTTTAAAGTTTCGTGAATGGCCTACAACGTATCGGAATCTAAAAAAAGTTTATTTTTAATTTTATTCTCAGAAATGGGACATTCTCTCATCAAATTAATTCATTTAATAGGGTACTCAAAACTCATAAATACCCACTTGCTTTCCACTTAAATTGTAATATAATTTGATAACAAAATTGAATATAATGGTGGCCTACAACAATATTAATTATAACAATAATGGCCTATAAAACCTGTTAATTTTGACATGTTGAGGATGGAGAAAACGCCAAACGGTCCAATATTTTTGTATGACACCGTCTTTTTCAATGTTATGACCAAATTACCTTACGATTCAGATGGAAAGGAAATGGCTGTTCATGAGTTTTTTGTAGCTAGTTAAATAGACTAAGTTTGCCGATATTTAGATTGAAAACGTTCCAATTGCCAGAATTTACGTGAATATATAAGTTGTAGATTACGATGAGGTGAAGTTATTCACTATGTTTCAGGCAAATGTTTTAGGCAAAACGGACTATATACCATCCTATGGTATATTTTTTTGTTCCAATTAACATTAACATAAAATTAACATTAGTTCTGTGGAAATCACACAAATAAGATCTGTATTGTATGTACAGCAACCATCTTTAACCCCTAGCCATCTTTGAGCAGTGGGGGAATAGAGAGCAGCTGTGTAACCACATCTCTGCACGTATGACTTCTTGAGTGTACTTAAGGCTAGCGCAAAACAATGTGAATTAGATCATCAGATATGTCAACAGTATTGATACCGTACTGTTGCAAAAATCAGCGCTAAAATGGAAACAGATATTAACAATATATATAAGACTTACCTTTGACAATGTTCAGTTTGATCTGCTCTTTTTCCCAAGATGCGAATGACGCCTTCAACGCTTCAGTCATTTTTTTATTCGTACCAGGAGTTAGCGGAGGAACCTGTGCTGGCATATCTGCAAGAGAAAAATCACAACTATTAGAAAATGGACACATCAGTTTTAAAATTATAATTACGAAAATGAAATAAATAAAAAAAAAACGGGAAGTTTGAATTCAGTTTTGTTTTAATTATATTAAAACAATGAATAAGAGGGAAACGACTGGTGTGATCTCCTTCGTCAATGAGTCAGTGATAGCGACGGAAGTCTTTATCAAGCGACAGCCATGGAGAAATAGAGATACACAATATAACGCGATAAAAATCATGAGGATATTCCAACATAATCTTGTAGTGTTAGGTATTGTAAAATATTTATTCAAGTAAACATAATGACATTCGTAAAAATACTTGAAAATGTCAATCGACGTCTCGACAAAAGAAATCTCCATGCTCAGAGAGATGTACAATGAAATTGTAAGGCTGCTCAAGTGTGTTGAGTTTCCAAATACAGAGCATACTGATCAATCATATCATTAATATTTATGAAAACAACACTGAAAGGATTAAGTTTGACAAAGTTTAAAACAAAGTTAAGCACAAGAAAATATTTCCGATCATGACATGTGACATAATTCTTAAATCTAACAGAGTTGCAATAATATCGAAATTAAATACAATACTAGCGGTTCTAGAATTTAATTTTTTTTTTAGAGACGGCTTTATCCCGAAAGCTTATTATATATATATTTAGACATATAAAAATCTGTCTCGTGGACAATAATTATAGTGATATATGAACACATTCACATAACAATTTTAAAGCAACTTTTTTTTTCATATTACGTGGTTATATGTAGTACCTGTATATGCACTATAATTTAAAAAATATAACAGATTGTAATTGTTTAGGTATTCGACTTAGATCACTCAAGGAAACAAATAAATAAAGAACTATTAAAGAAAACTAATTTGTCCATTATGAGTGGAGCTTTAGTCCGAAAGTCCACTCCCCACAGGCCTGCGTGTGGTCGAAATCGAACATATGATGCTTACGTGCGTAATTATTTAAAAAGAGTACAGATGTTGTAATTGTTTAAATATTTAGCTCAGACTAATTGCAGTAAAAAATATGCATAACAAAAAAATTATTATTCTATTTTGTGAGGCATAAGCCCGAAAGCCACCTGCAGATCCAACAGTGGATGACCCTACACATTTAAATATATTTTAGTGAATTTAGAAGTTTTTTATAAATGGAAACACTACGCTATATCAAAAACAGTCATATTAAAAGAAAATGTGATTTTACTAAAGAAAAATTCATCGAAGTGTCAAATAATTTTATTTTACAAGAGATTACTTTATGGCTTAGTGACTTAATTGAAGAGAAGTTGGTTGGAGTTTTCAATCAAAATAAAAAGTAAAATTAAATTAATTATATTTATTTATATTTCGTTAAAACCGAAGTTTCAAGCTTTAATCAAGGCTGAGCAGAGACAAGATAGCATAAAATATAAATATTGAGAAATGATAAGTAAAAATAGATATATAAAAATGATTAAGGGAGTATAAAGTTACGGTAACAAACCTTATAAGTACCTGCTTTGTAACCGTTAATCATTTCTCAATATTTATATTTTATGTTATCTTGGCATTGCTTAGGCCTGAAACTAAGGCGGAAACGTCGGCACAAAGGAAATAAAAAGAAATATTATTTATTTATTTTTACTTTTTGACCTAAGACCCCAACCAACTTCTCTTCAATTATATATATTGATAAGAACGTTATGGCTCAACTAAGTATGAAGTAGAGCTAGTTTCTAACAGTATTAAAGTAATTTTCAAGAAAACGCCAAAAAATATATTTACTTGTTTTGTTCGATTATCATTGCAAGAGACGATGCGTTTCTAGAAGCTGCCTTTCTCAGAAAGATAACGCCTTTATCAGATCTTCCAGTTACCAAGATTGAAAGAGACAGCATTTGCATCCAGGATACGCTAACTCTTGAGAGCACCATCGTCATATTTGTCGGAAATGGGTACCTGAAACGGTCATGGAAGGGTGTGGTGATGATGGAGGGGGATCTCCCACGGTTTAACGCATCACTGCTTTCACCTCCATTTTCTTAGCTAAGGAGTTTGTGTACTCACTGTATCCTGAATACATTTACAAGAAGTTTAAAAAAAAAAAACTGGAACAGTTCCAGAAAAGTTTCTAGAAAAATAGGAATATACATGGAACTAAAGTGAGTTGCTCCTTCCTCCTTTCGTGCTTTTATCCGGTAAGGAATCATAGAAAAAGAAAATTCTTGGATAATGTGCCGTGTAAGAATATGCAAGTGTATCATTTATACCAAAAACGGACAATCGATTTATCGCTTGATACAAATGAAATCTTTAGCGGGGAAAAATATGGAGATCTGTTCGTTGATAAAGAGTACCCAAAGGAGACATAATAAAACCTGAAACATGGGTGTTAGATAGTTAGCATTTTTTAAAGATTTTCATTATCAAAGTATCAACTCAAGCTTGTGGGTCATCATTAGGGGATCCGCAAGCTTTGGTTGAAACGACCTGTCTATCTATCACCCATGATATATAGAAATAGTCCACTAACATTCTTTGATAAGTTGATATATATATATCAGCTGTTCGTCCAGTGAACAAGACATATATAACTAAAAAATGAGAACCTGAACTTTCATTGATTCTTGAAAAATAACAACAAATAACAATTGATCATGGATTTCGGAGATTGGGACAAGCAGCAGAACATTTACTTTTGAGGTATCCTTATTAAGTACTGGACCCAAATATTCAACACAATGTGTATTAGAGTATATCTGTTACTTAACAAAAAGCATAAGAGTGGAGTAAATAATATTATAACAAAATATTTAGCTTCGTGTGACAATTATTACAGAATTAACAACATTATTTAAAAAATTTAAGTATGTTTTCGGGAAAAAAGCTAAAAAAAGTTAGTTTTTCATTTGTATAAATTAGATTCTATATATCTATCTTTATTTTATTTGCGATTCCCATATGAACACGTCTCCTTGATTCATCATATAAACATTTCGATTTTAAATTAATAAAATAAAATACTCATATATAAGATTTATTTTCTGAATATAATTAGAATACATACTGATTTCTTCTAAAAAAAATTATTTTATTGACATACAAATACATATCATATTTTAAATTTTAGAAAACAAATATGTTAAGTTTAATTAATCTTGCTGTAACTGATTTAAAACAATAAATAAATATAGTTATAAATAAATTTTATAATTCTAAAACATTCTCGGAATAATATTTTTTCATTTGAGGCTTTTTTTTTGACAACCTGTTCTGAAGGACGAATTATTTAATGTATTGTTTGCAGTCACGTAACATATTGTTATGCCAGGATGCAGAAGAAAAAAAACGGTAAGCTATATTTTATTTTTCACAGCCAGTGAACATTAAAAATTAAAATGTATTTTAAGAATAGATACGACTTAATAATAAATTTATCCCTAAATTTTAACCTAATATATATATATATATATAGCTTCATTATAAATTGATTGAATTTAATTAATGAATTATAAAAGGGGGAGTGTTCTAGTTTGAATTATAATTATTTAATTCGGTGTGAATGTACTCTCTGAACTCTATTGGTGTCCTTAACTGAGACAGATTGTAATGTTCATCAATAAAAAAAAGTAAAAAAATAATTTAATTATATTACATTTTTTCGATTTACCGAAATTAACAGGTGAAGAGTTCAAATTGTTGAAATATTCTAATTATCGAGAGTAGACTTTATAAAAAATATTGACAAAACGACATTAATGTTTTTAATTTATATTATATTCTAATGGGCTTTATTTATAAGCAACTGATCACACAAAGTTGTTTATCGTATCTAGTTCAATAAAAGTTTGCATAAGCATGAAATATATGAACCGGTGGGAAAAAGTTAATGCGACGTTTTAAAATTAATTGGATTTTCTCAAATAAAATGTGAAAAATATATGGAATTTAATTTACTAATTCATACAGCAACAAAGATTACATTATTAATAAAACTCCTGCGGTATATTGTAGTAATATTCAATAACAATTTTTTTTTAAATTATTCTAAAATTAAATTCAGGTACCACACAACGAGCTCGAAAAGTTCCAAAACACGCTATATCGGATTGAGGCAATGACTTCTCATTGGACCATCCAATGATATGACAGCAACCTCCTGAAGATAATCAAGTTCACTATAAGTTCTGTGTGGTACATTTCCATGCTTCAGGAGGAATCTATTATCCAATGGCACTTATAAATGTTAGTACGTATATATTAAATATGTACATGTAAACATTAAATACTCAATTGAGGACATTTGCTGACCAACCACTAAATCCGTGCGAGCATCAGAAGAAATACCACCACAGAACAATGCTTGAGTCTCCTTGGAATGCAATCGGTGGGATATATATATATATATATATATATATATATATATATATATATAATATATATATATATATATATATATATATATATAGATACATACACACACATATATATATATATATACATACACGCATATATATAGGAATTAGATGATAAACTAATTTCTTATAACTTTTTTTTTTTTAGATCAGACAATTCAACCTCGTGGGACAATCATATGCCATAAATTAGGTTGAAATTTCCATATTTAAAAATGAAGAAAAGCAGTCAACACACCTTGCAAATGAAATGAAAACGTCAACGGTTAATAACCCCAGCGAATTTCGACATGGAATTAAGAAATGAAAAATTAATGAATATTGATTTGTTATGAATAATAATTCGTTTTGAAAAAACATTTGTCAGATCATGTATTGGCCAAGACAAATAGCTATGGCGATGAAATCCATAAATGTTTCTATTTCTTCACATATTTAGTAATATCATTCGTTATGTTTATACTATATTTCATTGCCCTTCTAAAGAGAAACCAAGAAATCATAACAGTCATTTATGGCGTATTATATTGAGCATTAAATTAACATGACACAAATAAACAAAACAACAATATTATATAAATATGTAAATAACATATGAAGTAGCAAGTATTATAATAAGTTAAAAAAAGAGCAATATGTTAATTTTTTTGTGATAAAAGACTTTATTCATTCATTGATTCATATTAAGCACCAATACGCATTAGTAAATAGGTTTACTAATTTTATTTAAAAAATGTAATGTGTATATATATGGCAATTATTTTTAACATGACAATGTAACGAGTTTACTTCTTTACATCATTGTATTTAGACTTTTTCATTTCTCATGATTTATGTTATGTTTCTTTGTTCGTCTTAACATGAGCAAGGAAATCATAACAGATTTTTACTGGATATTATACTGAGCATTAATACGTATCATTAAACAGTTTTTTCATATTTTTTAAATATATTTTTCTTTTATTGGATACAGCACTATAAGCTTGAAAAAGGTATGATTTTATAATTTATTTTTTTACCGTACGAGCTATACTTTGTTTTTATTTATCTGTGAGATCTGTTTATTTTTTATTAATTTGATATAAATCGCGAATATTTTTATGACCTATTATTTAATTCGAGCGTCAATTTCTATAATGTTCACCTCATGGAGGAAAAATTAATTTTACGAATTAAATGTTATATTTATTTATAATCAATGGTACATAATAATGTAGTAATGCATTGACAAGATGCTCTGATTCGTGCTCGTGTTTACTCCTGGTGGATAACATGTTCCCAAGACAACCGAAGATGACTTGCTATTTGGTTTGACAACGATTGCGAGTCAGATACAAACAATCACTTAATACAAACGTAACACACGTGCCCAGATTAGAGGTGAACAGGGGCAGCCGTCTCTTAAATAAACATATGGGAGGGGGGGGGTAAACACGGAAAAAATTATGTGTACAATACGATTAGTAAACATAGAAAGATGTTTATTATCTGATTTTTAAAGAAATCTTCAATTTTTTATGTTGGTCAATATCATAAGATATAAAAACATTTAATTATGAACTCGTTAATTAAGAACCTAGCGAGCGAAATTATTAAAGATTTGAGTGCTTCAGACTTTCGGATTTTCCTCGAAGTAATGAGGGGAAGAAATTTTTTTTAAAAACAAAATGGAAAGAAAAAGGAAAATCCGAGTACTATCTCAAGCCTGTAGGGAGTTCCCACGATGAACTAAATGAATCTGAACGCTGTTATTACGGACTCCCACGGGTCAAGTCTCCCGAAAACGAGGTTTTAATCGAGAACTATTAACAGTAAAAAAAAAAAAAAATCGTAATAAAAAAAAAGTATAGGATGTATTCTGCATCCGATTTTCCGAAATGGTTCAAATCTGTCCCTGAGAAAGTTGGAGGGGAGGGGAGGATTGTTAACCAATTGAGACGCTTAACAAGCACTCGACCATCTCCGTAACGATCACTAACCCACTGAGGGGTCAGGTACTCACTTATCTAACAACAACCAATCGCGGTCCTACACGATAATTAACAGCCGCAATACAATATTGAAAAAATAAAGAAAATTCAGTCTGAGATGTATTTTTCACAAATGTGGAGTTTAATTATTATTAATTAAAATGACTTGATGAAAATAGTTTTATTTAATTAGTTAATGCGAATAAAACAATACAATAAAACTAACCAACTGGAGGGTCAGGTACTCACTTATTTATCAACAACGAATCGCGGTTCGACACGATAATTAACAGTTGCGGTACTAATTTGAAACGAATTTGAAAATACAGTTTGTCATGTATTGTTCCCAAATGTGAAGTTTAATTATTAATAACTAATGTACCAAGGGGAAAATATTTTGTTTAATTAGTTATCTAGGATAAAACAATACTGTACGGTGTACAGCAGTGAACTTTATAATAATTTTACTATGTACTTTATTAAATATCAAAATAATAAAGTAGTAAAAATGTTACTACAAATATATACCATATTAATAGTAATACAGCCATAAACAGAATTTATTTATTAGTAAAGGAGATTAATATATTTTGATGGAACAGGAAGGTTATATTGATCTTGTTTTTTTACACATACACGTATATAATGTTTTTTTTTAATAATAAGTTTATTTAACGATATTTACAATTTTATGTACATAATAATCGGTCATGTTTTCGTGTACAACATTTCACACTACAGTCATATTAAAATTATTAATGTAAGTACCATTCTTTTGTACATTATATATTAATTACATTACATCTATATATATATATATATGTATACACGAATACGGGTTCTCTCTTAATTATATAAAGGACAAACAGGAATTTCTCATTCTATGGTATTGAGATAATCTGCTTGGTTATGAACACAGTCATTCACAATATTTTCTCTTTATATTCGAGATTAATTTTCAATTTATTAATAACTTTTTTTTATTGCGAAAAACTATTTATTAATTATTAAAATGATTGAAAATAATTACAATTAATAACTTCTAAGAGATAAGTTGTATCATTGATTAATTTATAATTCAACAATTTTTACAAAGATAAAACATAGTTCCAAATTAGTTGGTTGTTGTTGTTGTTATTAATCCTTGTAGGCCTTCTTTTTCTCTATTTTTGTCCTTTATGTATAGTTAGTTTACTCATAAAATTAACTTATATAATTTTAAGTTTGTTTTTTTTAATCTGGCAATAGGTGCACTAATACCTATAGGTAAGTAGCCTCATTTTTTTAAATTTATTCATTTTTTATTTTAATTTATTTTTTATGGTTAGCAACTACACTTGTATTATGAGAGGATTTTTTAAACTTTTTTTTTTCTCACTAACTTTAAAAATCGATGAGCTACTACAATTTTGAAGATGTTTTTTTTTTTTATATTAAGTAAAACAAAAAAACACATCTGGTTTATTTTATTCTGTGCCGTGAAGTTAATACTACCTAAAAATTATGTGATGGATATCACAGCTAACTTTAAAGAAATATAGATCCAACTATCTTTTCTTATACATGAAGTTTCCAATTTTAGTATAGGTATCGCCGAAACGGATTTTTTTTTTCAATTATAATTATTTTATCTAGAATATTTATTCTTTTTTATTATAATCAGGCAAACCTTCAATTCCTTTGTTTTGCAATTATTTATGACTGTAATACTAATTACTTTGTAATTTAATTGGCAGCTATATTTATTATGTTTATGAGGTCCATAAAATATATATATGAAGTTTCAACTGCCTTAGTAACTCTAAATGACTAACATGCCTCTCCTGGCATAGTGGTCTTAAAAAAAAAAAAATCATGTTTTTCAAGTTGCCAAGATTAACTAGCATTTATCGTCCATACTAATACATATATCAACGTACGGATTTTGGGGTTTTATAAAAAGAAACAGGTTCCCTCAAACAGGGGCAAACATATAAGGCCGTCACACTTCTGTCGCGGGGACGAACCGAATCTGAAAATAGCAGGAATCGAAAATAGACCAAGAAGTTTCAATAAAGTTTTCAAAGGGGCTCCCGGGGACCAGATGGCATCGAAAGGTATCTCCAAGGAAGACGGGAGTCAATTTGAAGAAAATGGTAAAACGGATCGTAACGGTCGAAGTGGAGTAGCATGTGCCTCTGACAGCTGTGCCGGCCACCTGCAAGTCACACTGCGCAAGGTAGACCAGGTCCTTGCCCGCGACTTTCCTCGGTCAAGATCGGCCATCATATCTTATCCTTCCTTCCTCATATCATATTCATCCATCTTGAATTTGGTTAGTGGCATTACTTAAAAAATAAAATAATTATAAACAAATAAAATAATTATGAGCAGTAGTGTAGCCCAAATGCAAGACCGGGATGAGTCTTGGTCTTGCAAACTCAGTCTTGGTCATGGTCTTGGTCTTGCGCAAGAGTCTCGCAGATACTTATTAGCTTATTATTATAGAGATATTACTGTCATTTTTTAGATAGGAGAAACATAACTAAGCCCGAATGAAAAATTAGAGGAGTTAAATGCAAAATTATAATGGATACACCAATTACTTACATATAGTAACTAAGATTGTCAAGTATTAGTAACTATTTTGCCTTAATTTTTAGTCAAAAAATCGATTTTTTTTTACCAATCCTGGTCTTGGTCTTGCAACAGTTAGGCGGCCTTGGTCTTGATCTTGCAAAGCGCACGACCAATATTTGGCAACACTAATGATCAGCAGAAATAATTCCATTGGTCGCTTTTGAATGTACTGGAAAACTGGAAGAAATCGGTGACTTAATGTATACGATTAGACTCCATTATTATTTGAGGATCATAAGCCTCATGTTTCTGAAAAAACAGTGAATATTATTTTATTTACTTATGTTTATTTAGAAATATAATAATCTGTAGCGTGGACAATAATTATAGTGATATATGAACACATTCATACCAGTGAATATTTAACATCAGCATTTCACCAATTCATTGTCGTCAGGGAACTCTCAGGTATTTTATAATTATCATAAAGGAAGAAAAATATCCTGACTAGGATATGCGGTCAATAATCAAAGGTTTATTACGTTTGCCGACGTATATAGTAACATAGTTGAATGAATGAACGAATGAAAAAAACAACTGTATTTTGTAATATATTCAATTACAGGAGGTCTGGCTCGTTTAAAAACATTATTACGTAAAGAAAAATCAATGATAAAATATTAAACAAATATAGAAATAATTTGGAAAATATAAATTATGATGAAAATACAGCTGTATAACAATATAAATAAAAATATTGACTTAGAAAAAAATTAAATAAATATACAATGAAAGACTTAACAAAAAAATACCAATGATATGTTCGGGTATTATATGCCGATAATACAACATACGATAGAACCATATACAATACAATATAGCAAAATGCAACAATAAATAGTTAGATCAGCTTCTTAGTCGAAGATTCCAGAATTTCTTGTGGTAAACGTATACATAAATATTGTTAGAACTCGTTCATAATAAATGATCTGATTTTAAGGCTTCCCGCATAAAATGTATGTCCGTGAAATAAAATGTATCGTTTAACTTTACCAGGTTTTTCTATAGTTAATAAATTACTTGTTAATACTGAATTGCTTTCTTCACTAATATATTTCTCTGTGTTATGGTCCCTCAAATGTTTATATATCGGGCATAAAGTATATTTAACAAATAACAGCAATGTTGAATACCCGGTACCCAAATTCGAGTTCATCCGAATTTACCTTAAATTTTGTTTTGTTTTTTCTCCTGAATTGAAGAAACATACGACTGCTTGGTTATTTACTGATATTTTAGTGACTTGAAGCGTTGTTTTAAAATGACTAATAATATCTTGAATATTTAAAACAAAACTAATCATTAATTAATTGAGGTGTTTTTTTTTTTGGAAATGGATGATGGTAATGTCTAGTTTTGAAGATTATCTTTGACTTTGATGTCATATATATAAAAAAAAATCGTAACATCGAAAAAATACTAAAAGTGTAAATTAAAAAAAGAAAAAAAAAAAATATTTTACTGTATCGTTTTGTTTTAGTTGATACGTGGATATAGTATTCTGAAATATAGTAAGGTAAATAACGTAGAGTTAAACATATTTTATTGTTTACTAGCATATATAAAAACACGAAACAAAAGCCACTAGGAAGACAAAATAATTATTAATAATCGAAGTATTCAAAATTAAAGCCAATTTAGAGGCGAATTAATGAAAATTCGGGTAGACTAGATAAATAGACCTAGAAAAAAAATGAATAAGGTAGAGTGAGAAATGAATTATGGGCGGAAAAGGTAGAGGATGCCAAAACAAAATGTCAACAATCTTTAAAATTCTTCTTTGAACCGATCCAAGCAAGGCTCTTTGAAAATGATTCATTAAAACCTTACTGTTTCGGTAAGTTATTAATACATAATATAAAACTCTTAAGAATGGATACGATAATGTACTCTTGAGAAGTATTCTCTTTAGCCAAGATGTACTCTAATTAGCAGTATCGGACGAATCCAGCGGATGGATGGATGGATTTAATAATTTTTTTTTGGGAGGAGGGGTATTAAGTATGATCCTGTTTTTGTTCGTGAAGGAACTATATGAAATGTTTTTTAAGTGGTCCTTGAAGCTTTATTCTAATAAAAAACGGTAATGCTCTAAAAAATAATTATGTATATTTTTTTCTTTACACGTGCATACATTTAGTTGCATGGGTTTGAGTCATGATTTAAAAAGTGAACATAATATGATTGTTTAAGTATCAATTTTCAGAAACAAATATGGACCATTGAAATTGGGGGCTTCAGCCCGGAAGTCGTCCCTCTCCTAGCAGATCCGACAGTCTGTAGGTGAATGATATTAACGCATCAAAATTTGATGCTATAATAATTCATCACATTATTATATTTATTGATGTCATATTATGTATAATATTAATTACATTACATCTCTCTCTCTCTCTCTCTCTCTCTCTCTCTATATATATATATATATATATATATATATATATATATATATATATATATATATATATAAACTATCGGCCTTGAAGGAGCCCCATATTTGGAAATTATAAAAAAAAACTACAATAAATACAAAGAAACCAAATTTTAGCCTCTATTTATGAAGGAACTGAATTTGAGATGTATTAAAAGAAAATATGATTTAAATGTAAAGTAGTATCCATTAAATATAATAGATACATATTATATATTATACAATATACGATTTAAAGTATATGATATAATACAAACAAACAAAATTTAAAAAAATGAAACTATATAAAATTATGTTTATGTGGTCCTTGAATGCATGTTTAAAAAAAGAATGGTAATTACAGGAACAATAATGCTTTTAGAAATAACTTTTATATAGAGCTTTTATATATTGTAAATAGGTATGTATGTTTTCTTTTTATTCATTTATTTTTTAGGTTGTTTTATTCTTATTTATTGTATATATATTATTTTTCTGTATAATTTAATTTATTTACTGTACATAGAGTGTGAATGTGATCCTTGAGATGTGTGAGATGAAATGTCCTTGAGACAGATAGTAATATTTTTCAATAAAAAAAAAAAAAAAAAAAAAAAAAAAAAAAAACTTTTCTTTACACTTGCCTATATATTAGTAGCAACTACCTAGATACGTGTTATAATTCAAAAAGAGAATATAATTGTTAAAGTATTTAGGTAAGAACGACCTCGGTAACAAATGTGGAACTATGAATAAAAAATTATAATTTATTATATTTTTTTTTGTGAGGGGGGGCTTCAAACCCAAAAAGCCCTCCCCTCCCGCGTATCCGCCAGAGCTGCTTCGCCCTTGCTCTCAATGGATCAGCTACGATTCAAGAAGTTGGAAAGGCAACGGTAGTTAACGAGGCCGAATATTTTTTTTTCTATTTACCTTCCAAGTGATTGCATTTATTCAGGCGGTTGAAGATTAGTCAGCGTGGCACCAGCAAGTGGTTTCAACATCCGCTCCCCCCTCCCTCATTACCATGTCCAAACAGTGACTGCTTCTTAATTACCGATCCCTGTTTGACACTTCCCATCCGACCTCAACCATTCTGTACCATTTCTTTTCATCAAAATCCCACCAAAACCACAAGAAGACGAACTGTTTAAAAGGTCGTTCCGCACGATCAAGTTTCTGCACCAAAGCCTAGTCTTAGAAATTGTGGTTAAGTACTTTGGTTTTCAACAACCAGGTTGGTTTGTTGGTTTTCACCACAAGCATCATAGCCCTTTCAACAAGGTTTCTGGAATAAAGTCGTGATTGTAGTCACATTTTTCCACAAGGAGAGTAACATGGATGTTCTAATACCTTGAAACTTTACTTCGAGGACTGTTTGTTACTCGTGTTAAATAAAATTGAAGATTGTGAATTCCCATTTCCATTAATTAAATTACATATATGGAGTATTCCGTAAATAATGAGATATAATTAAAGAAATGGTAGTAAATCTGAAGAATAACCGAAACAACTTAATTATTACATTAACATTACTTAAGCAATGTAATGTAGTACAGAGATGGTCTGTAACTTATCACTTCAATCATATTTAAAACATGGGTCCACCCCAATATTTTTACTATAAAAAGAATATAGTAAAAAGTAAAAAATATATAAGAAGCGGAATAGACAACAAGTTTAGAAGAAAAGTGCTTCCAATAACAAGGAACGCCGCTGATATAGTTTTATCAAAAGTTTTGAACTCATTAGATCAATTTCATCCCTCGATTAAAAATGCTCATTATTACAAATAATAAACTAAAATATATGTAGGGGTCCAAGATGACCTTTTGCATTGATTCATCAAGTTGAACTATGTATTAACTGTACATATGTTTCTGCTTCTGTATGGTTAAACTCTCATACAAGTTATTCTTTTGACAGCTAAGAATTATCCATCAGACAGTTAAAATTGAAGGAACGAATGAAATTTATAAATCATGACGAGTTTCCCGATTTTCGCAAAATTTACTGTGCATTTACTACTGATTTTCAACTATACAAATTCCTCAACACCTTGAATTTCCTGAGGAACACACCTTGGATATTAAACAAAGGATGAATATTCTATACTAAATTGATACCAGAAGGCTCCGAAGAACATTAAAAGGCTATCGAATGAATCTCAAAGACGTTGGTTTGGTTTCCAACAGAATTTAAAACAATTTAGACATGAGATTACAAATATTTCTGAGGGTTTTCATTTGATTTCTAAATTTATTAATATTAGTTTAGGTTGAATAAACTTGGCAGCATCCACCACTGAAAGTACTTTATTGGTTCCTTCATATTTCTCATATTCCAATTTCATCGATCTTTTCAGGTCTTGCAGTCCCTTCAATCCAAAATTCACTCGTGTAATACACCCTCACCTCTTTACACCATCCTATAAGACTGCAACCTTCCACAAATCCTTGTCAACTTCATCCAGATGGAATCTATTCCATAACGAGTCTGCAATTCTTCGTCTCTTTGAACTCCATTCGTTTGTCCATCCTCAATTTTTCCAATAATAATGATTTCCATCAATACCAACTATCAATACTATATCAACTTATGGAAGTTATTTTATCGGGGCATCAGTTGCAAAGAGATATCCCAGAAAAACTCTAGAAAGAAATACTTTAAATACCCCTTAAGGATTATGAATCAGACCTAACAAAAAATGACCATTTTACTCAATTATTATCATAACGAACTGTACATATTACAGTTTTATTACAAAATTAGTTGTTCTTAAGAAGCAACTAAATTCAATTTATAAATATCACGCCTCAAATATGGACGCCCAATTCTGTTCTGGCTTAAGGAGGTAACGCCTCTGTTGTAATGAGCCGGTTACTCTGGAGTAGATTTGTTTCCAAACGAACCAATTAGCTGCGGGACCAATTGCACCAATCAGCGAACGATTCACAGAGTGAAGTCGACCATTTGACAGCTCGCTAACAATGTAAATTCCAACCTTATCAATCAGATGGTGTTGTTGGAGATGCGGTTTAATAAGCTTTTATTTAGTTGAAATTGAGAAATTCTTTTAGTAGAACACCATGATTGTGCGAGAACAACGCCAATTTCTCGAATACAACTACGAGAAGAATGTAAAGGGACATCCGCACACTTAAAGACCTTTTTTACATTTCTGAGTTCTCACACTTCCTAGGATTGATGTTGTTCGAAGGCCTTCCTAGGAATTGGGGATTGAGGGGGTCGATTTATGGTTTGATATTAGTTAAATTACCAGCGTATCCTATAGTACCTCAGATCAACAACATAGTGAACCAATGGATGCTTAGAAGAGTTTCGTCACTAAAATTTTGCAGGGCATATTTTTACGAGGTTTTGAATACTTTAAGGAACTTTCAAATCCGTAGAAAATCCATAGAATAGACTCCTGCAAGATGATAGTACATAAACTACATTTTTTCAAATGCTACTTTCGCTTGGAGAATTTTTAACGGGGGGAGAGTAATAACATTTCATTGGGAGATGGTACATGCGCTATCGACCTTAGGAAGAATGAGAACAACTGAGTGTATGGGGTTTTGAAAAATTTATTGGAGGAAAACATATGGTATGCAAAGAGTGTAGGTTAAGCTCCTGAAATTATGGATTTATTGTAATAAAATGGATTATCAAATAAAATATTTGTTTCATATGAGACAGATATTGAGATTTTTGTTGAAAATTATTCCAATGAGCCAAATAGTAGTTTTGCATAAGTTATTCCAGGGAGACGTGAGTGAAATTATAGGCAGATAATTTATAATTATTGGGATAAGCGACACTGTAAAAACGATACAGGTGCAAATGGTTTTAAGTAGGTGGTAAAGTTAATTTATAGCGATTCATTTTATTTTTCCAATTTGGACAAAGGACTGAGAAGCATGAATAAAGATATAATTATATATTTATAATATAAAATTTTCACTAACTTGAATTCGAAGGCGAAAAAAAAGGAGATGTAATCATATTAAAAAAAATGTTTTTTTTTTTTCTACAAACCTCTTTAAGGTTAAAGGGGGAATTTTGTTATTTACGAGCCAAGTATCAGGATGTTAATTAAGAAATAAAGAACACATTCCACAAAATGAATATAACTATTTATAATTATTAAAATGGAGAGAAAGACGACACACAAAATTGTACCAAGGTATGCCAGAATATACCACAGCCTCTGGGATCTTCTTGGTAGAGGTTGAAGCGGAGGTGGCGTAGGAGAGCGTTGCTAATGCGACAGAGGAGGTAATTGCCTTTCATTCGGATTGATAAAGGAGTTAGAAAAATGGGGGGGAGGGGTCTTTCTGCCGACTCACCGGCGGCCATCTTCGCTGATTGGGCCTTGTCAGCTAATGAGTCACATGTACAGTGAATACATCATTCCTGATGAGTAACTGTATCGATAAAATACAACAAAAATGTAATCTTTAAATAGAACTATAAATGCAACCTTAGAAGATGTGCGAAAACTTAGGTCCTCAGTGGAATCATCCCCCAAGATGATGTAAGGTGAAAGTATGAAAATATCTTGCTTTTGACACAAAACAATGTATTGCGATAAATATGAGCTAATAAATAAACAATATAACAGCAGAAAGATGTAACAGGATGAATGATTAACATCACGTCCAAATAACATCATGAAACATTAATTAAAGAAAAAATTGGAGGGATGATTTATACTTGAGGTACTTTTATTTCAATTGGATACATTTATAAATTTTCAACTTTTATTTTTCTTTGAAGATAACAAGAATAAAAACTCAAAAATTCCCGTATTTGTAAAGATGGCATAAAAGAAAAGTGGTGGGGAAGGAACTAGCTGACATGAGTGGAGACTCGACTATGTCATACGCTCATACCGTTTGGTATCTTATACATTTTACATAAAAATAGTGTTTTCAGCTTCAAAACATCCATCCAAGAATTATTTTTCCCTTTTTTCTCTTTTCCCGTCATCTCTGAATAGAAATATTTAGTTTAAAATGTATTTTATGTCTCACACTGCATAGGCGGTACTAGAGGAGAGAATATGATGATGATGTATTTTATGAGATTTTTTAAAAGTAAGGCCAAGAGATGTTTGACAACATTAACGTTTAACGCGGTATACGTTACGCCACACCTCCATTCTCCACCATACCTTTAAGACGCACTGTTATACCAACTCTTAAGCTAAATATGAACCTTTTTTACAATTATGATATAATAGATGATGTTTACATTTTATAGGGAAGAGCTCCCAAGCTTCTTCCCAACCTTCCCTTTTCTGGGGAAAGAGATAACAAATTTCCTAATTAAACGAATGGCTCTTACAAACAATTAATATTTCATTGTATACAGAGTAATAAGACAGTAGAGTAGCTCATTGAGTAAGGCAATGAGCAGTTAAGCTCTAGGACCCAGATTAGAAGCAGGCTGTGGCAGGTAATTATTTATTCTGTTTTATCAGCCGTAGATCGACCCATCGAGAGACCCTCTTGGGGCACACCCAGTCTTTATAAAGTGGATACTCTTAATTAAGAGTAATATATTGTCCAATAGACAGAAAGAGAATGTTATATTACTCAATAAATTTAAAAAAATAAAATTCTTGGCCCAATCCCCTCCCAGCACAATAGTTGGTCTGGAAGCAGTTCTGAACCCAAGACCCTTCATGGTTTGTAGTGGTACAGGTTTTTTTTTTTTCATAGTAATAAATAATATTAGAAAAATATCAGTTTCCAAATAATAATATTTATTGAGTTAAACATAAATATAATATTAATCTATATAACCATTAATAGGATATAATAAAAAGTGGTTCCAAAAATGGATAGTTAAAAACAAAGTCTTTGTCTCTACGGGACGCTTCATTGGAAAAATTTCTAAATTGAACTACAAAAACAAAAATAAGAAGACAAGGACTGACAAGACGATACAATCTACTGGCTGTAGGAGAAAAAAAAACTGCAGATCCTCACTCAACACACAAATCACGCAACTAATCTACATCCACAACACAAACCTATTTGAACATATGGAGCAGAACATTTCAATTAAGCAAAACATGTACAAACGAAATACAAATGTAGAATATGAAATCCTTTTAAAAATTACTAATGCATATTCCATATTTTGAAGGACATCATACACGATGGACACACCAACAGACTAAAACATGACAAGAAGAGAATTTACCTCAAGCTAATTATCAGTCTAATAAGATCGTATTGACCTTGTTTCACTCAATAAAATGAGAATGTAATGCTATTTATTTAGAAATAAATTACTTTCAGTACTGTTGAATTTTATTAAGATTGAAAATAAGAGGCTTAAAATTGGGCTTATCCCTCTTTCCCTTGAGCAAAAATGCTCTGTCCATGTTCGTAGGGGGGGGGGAGAGGGTACCGTTAATTGATTTTGCAATATGTTGTTAAACCTGTCTATTTTTCATTAAGTTTATTCATAAGTAATTTCTATTATGCATTCTAAAATTTTGCTAATTTATGTTAAAATGTGATTATCCCCTCCCTATATAATTCAGTAATTAACCAAGATGATAATATGATTTAACTGTTTATAAATTGTACGACTCATTACTGTAAACATAATGTGAAAAAGTGCAAAAGATGTAAATAATAATTTATTGTAATTAATTGTTATGCAACCTATAAATCAATAAAACTACCCTCACTTTAAATAAACCAATAATATGGGGCACACAATTAACACTGAAATCTTATGTTGAAAAATAAAAGGCTCAACCATTATTATTCGGAATATCAACCACTTTCCCACCTCCAAAAATGGAATTTTTTTTTTTCATTGTTTTATATTTGTTACTGTGAATGATATAAGCTATATATTTCAACAATAGCAATAATGCATAAACAACTACTAAATATAACCATGCCTTATAGAAATTATCTCTAAAAGTATCATTGTTCGTGTAATTTCATTTTTAATCGGACTTCAAGCAACATTTCATACAGGTAGTTAATTTCTTTCTTTTTCTTCTTAAGTAATTATCATTTTTATAAACGTATAAAAAAAAAAAAAAAGATTCTGCGGTGAAGCCCCTCAAAATGAAATCTTAATTCGCTACTGCTTTCGATGTAAAATCTATTTGGAACCTTCCGTCATCTCGAGTGAAGTCTACCTTTAGTTAGTAACCTTAAGCAAGGAAAACACACTTTCTATTTATTTAAAAGAGTTGAACCAACCGACGTATAACTCAGACACCAGGGATTTCGATAAAGTTACAACTAATAGGGTGTATAAAAAAATTACCGTTTCTCAACCAAATATTTGTATTATAATTTCTTTGATATAAAATACAATTAATACTCAAAGTATAGTCGATTGTTATCTACCATCCAGTAGCTCGGTATCATTCTTTGGGACGGACGTCAAAGAACTCGCAATTTGAAATCAATTTTTTACCCCATGAAGAAAATAGGCCACGTATCTAAACAAGTAGTAATCCGATGGTGCGAGGTCTGGACTATATGGTCGATGAGGCAGGAGTTTCTCA